CTCGCCACGAGTAAAATTAAATTTTCTTCTCCGTTGCGAGGGTACCTTGAAATTAAAAACGTGGAACTCAGAAACCAGCCTTCAAAATAGTTCGTAATTTTGTCAACTGGTTTTGAATGGGTCCCTATAGTATTCACTTAGAGTACGGGATTTAGGGAACGCCAGTCCCAAACTGAATTCTGTGCAATGAAACGACCGTCTGCTGCGTCTCACAACACGGAAAGTAATGAGACAGCGTCTGCCACTTTCACAGCCTATCATTTATATTCCTTATACAAAGAACGAGTAAGATTGCTTGAAAAATCAATCACTAAAGGAAGGTGTCCGTTTCTTATGCAGTCTTCAATCGCCTTTTTTGTTTTGGTTTTGGGTGTCAATTATGCCACTATGGTATACTTCATCTTGCTTTGAGTTTAAATTACTGGCAAAAAAGTTTGAAAAGGGGAATAGATTGTGACTCTATAATGACAGCTATTCAATCCAACCGGTCAAGAGCACCAAGGTATCGAGATATAACCTTATGGGAAATGGTGAGTTGGAATACAGCCATTATTTCATGGCACAGCCAACGATAACTCGTTCATTTACCTCAGAAAGGTGCCTTTATGCCTGCACGGTACGATAATTTATATCTTTTGAGACATATAAATGTTTAAAATAGACGATTTTCATTGCCGCCTACTACTGAGTTCAGCCGCCTGTAACGCATGCGAAACCCCTTATATGGAAATAAGTGCAATGGTTTAACCTGTATCCAATAATAATAATAATAATAATAATAATAATAATAATATTGTGATAAAAATTTGTAATATAAAGCTCAGCACGCTCAGCATTTTTATTATTGTGACTCTTGCAACTAGTTTCAGTCCTGGCGGTACATCTAAGTAACCGTGTAATTGGTATTATCATTAATCTTTGTTCAAATTCGATTTCGATGTCCGAAATCTTGCAGTTGAATGAAATTTGGTCAAGCAAAGCTCCCAAAGGATTTCTGCTGTTTTTGCATCTTGTAGCATCAAAGTGGTTCATCATGTCTTTTCCTGATCACTTTTACAAAAAAAGATACTTATCCACGGCCGTCATTTTCTACTTGAGACTTGAACCTGGAAATAAACCATAAAAACGAGTCATTTAGCGTTAAAAAGACATTGTCTCAGAAGTTCCCGGGTGAGTGAGTCTACCGTTGTATTAATAAACCGTTAAAGGAAATGAAAAGGTTTGGGTTTTGACAGTTGTTGCATCATTTCTTGAAAAATAAGCAACATAAAGGATATCGTTTATCAAAGGCTAAAGTCTTTTTAATTATTGGGTATTATTTATTGGAGCATCTATCAAGGCACTTAGACCTTGCGTTGTATATCTGTGCCTGGATACGGAAATGACAGCGACAAATCTGAAGATAACTCTATTTGTTGTTTTTATTTTTCAGTCCGATGCTTCGTAAAATGTAAGATTCTGTTTTGATATAATTAATTTAAAAACATTATTGCTAATAACCGGACATGTTATCTTTTATCTTTTTTCCACAGGACCTCGTTAACGCCAGCCATATTTGTTGTAATGAGCCTTAGTGATAGCGAATTTTTCTAGATGTTTTTGTAAATAACTTTTGAAGTAGAATATACCTTGAACAGAAAAGGTGAAACACTTTTATTCATGTTTGACCTAGCGCTAGGTACATAAAAAAAACAACAATTTTTATGATGAAAGGCTCACAAAGGGCTTTAGACGTTTATATAGCAAAAAAAAAAAAAACTAATTACCCAGCTATTGGCAACATTTTTCAATTAATCATTCAGGTACACCAAATCCAGTGCCGTTCACGGAGTCACGATCGTTTAACATATATTTTGACAAGGCATTTGTTTGGATCACTCTCATAAGGGAGCTCGAAACTGGTGAATTCCACTTTTCCCAGTCAAATGAGAAATTAGGACTCCAAACGGTTACATAAGTCTTACATTGCTCTACGCTATGGGCTATGATATACCTTTGTAATAAAGGCAAATTGAACCCCCTTTTTTGCATTGTATAACCTTTAAATAAAAAAAACTGGCGTCTGAAAAAGAGCACATTCCATTTATTATGTGGCGGATTACTGCCATATCTTTGCTTAGGAAAATTACTCTAATTACAGATATGTCAGCCGTATCCGGTGCTAGCAACTTTCCAGGCAATCCTTACTTCGTTATTTTGATTTGTATTCTTAGCATTCTTTATATATATATGCTGCTTGTTAAAGCATGCAAATAGAGTCTAGTTCCTAATTAGTTATCGCGTCGCATCGCATTGCTTCTCAGTGCGGCGTAACCACAGACGAGACTTTGCCTATTATATTTCATGGTACTGATTCTAATTATGCCCCTCCTCAAATTCGTACAGAAATGCATGGAGAAAAGAATAAGCCTTTCTGCGCATGTCCAAACCAGATCATAATACTAGTGCGAGATCCAGTACGCGCTGTCAGCAGAGACTGAGTGTGTAGATCAAACCTGGTTAAGTGATTATGAAACACATTGTCATTTATATGAACATTTTACTCCTTTATGTATTTATTCGTTTGTTTGTTTGTGCTTTATCATAGTTAGTTGTGCTGTCATTGATTGTACCTTGTACGTGAAGATGGTTATCAATAAAGAATCTGAATCTGAATCTGGTTGCAGACATTCTACATTCTCACTTCCCTGGGGATGGCACAGCTGGTGCGTGAAGCGTGAAAAGCGTTCACCGCCAAACTAGGTACTTTACCTCGGCTCATTTTGTCTGCTGTTACCCATTAGGTTCTGCCAATATAGGTTCTGCCAAACGAAGGGGCGGCAGCTACAATTCATATTTTATGAAGAACTGGTATGTCTCCGGACGGAGTCAACCCCGCCTTCCCCCTGTGTCAGGCCTACTCAACTACCAGACTCGGCACCTTAGGATCCTGAATTAACCGGTATATCGGACCACACTACCCGTTTTCAAGGTGTGTGTCAGATCGCATTTCGGAGTATCAGCCAGAACACCGACAGGATGAGCCCTGGCATGCTCGGCTGTCACCTTGATTGGATAGTAAACGATTGTCGTAAAATCGCTATATGATTTTAAAACCGGGCACATAAATTTGAAAGCCNTATATGATTTTAAAACCGGGCACATAAATTTGAAAGCCACCTAGATGAACCTTAGACTGCCACATTAATCTAATACAATGCAAAAAAAGCCCTATCAAAAGTGGTTAAAACATTCAAACCGAATGTCGTAAAGTCCCCATATATGCCCATAGAGACAATAAAATAGAGTACTCCAAAGTAAGAGTACAGTTTAAGGTTGTTCAGCCGAGCGTGGATGAGCCCGCAGTCGTGCTACAAAATTTGTTCTGGGGTATGATACTCCGAAATGCGATCTGACACACACCTTGAAAACGGGTAGCGTGGTCCGATAAACCGGTTAATTCAGGATCCTTAGGTGCCGAGTCTGGCAGTTGGGTAGGCCTGTGTGTAGAGTCGGACATTCTAACCACAAGGCTATCCTATCTTGTCATAACTTGAGAAGGTATAAAACCCAATTTCATTTTACGGTGTTTGTACCTCATTAGCTGAATGATTTTTGTTTTGTTTTTTTCCCCCGTTTTAAGAAATTAAAGGCTGTAGCGAAACATTAGGACGTGCTAGGAGATAATTGTGAGCGTGGGGTAATTTGAGCGTTTTCTCGAGTTCGTGTATGGTTCGAAATCGGTTGTGAAGTGCAGCCAGCCTAATTGGCCTCCGAGGAACAGTGATTCCATGCGTCTGGCACGTTATATGTCTGCCATCAGCAAATTTGCAGTGTTAAAAAATACGTTGACGCCAAAGTAGTATACACAACAGCAAAACAGAATACAGAGAGAACTGAATATAATGTCGTGACAAGAGAGGCTATAATACAAATGACTCTTACAGAGTAATATGACTTTTTTACAATACACCTAGAGGTGTAAATTCATATATATCCACTCGTATTCGCACACGATGTTAACTAAAAGGTTTATCTACTAGAAGAACGCTGTTATACTTTTTACCGCGTTCGAATCGCTTTTCACGGTGCCTTGTGTTCATAAACAGCTCTTTTGTTGTTGTGCATTTGAATGCGTTATTCGGAAAGGTAAGTTCTTTATATCATTGTATTTGTAAACGTGGTCATATAACTAGAATTAGTCAGCCTTCGTTTTACATGGAACTGTCTAGGCTTCTGAGAGACTGACATTTGATCAGGCAGCAGGTCCCGGTTAAAAAAAATCCGACCCTGGCTTCGCAAAAAATTATTTAAGTCAGGTTCCCTGGCTAAGAACTTAATTATCAACGTAACATGGTCACATGCACACATCTCACCCTGTCAGGAACAGCGTTACTGCACTTTTATGGAAATAATAGTCTACTAAGCCACGGAACTGACTACATTTTTTTGCGAAACTGGGGCCAGTCTTTTGCATTGATGGGTGGAACAGTACCCGGAAGTCAAATTTTGGTTTAGTTTTCAGTTCTTTATCCCACATTTTTTTAATTCAGTAGGAGTTTAATGTCATTTAATCGAACGTATTTAGAGCGGCGATTTGTTGCCAATTTATAAAAAAGAATTCAAATTGTATTCATATTGAATAAGTCACCTTGCATCTCTAGCATTGCCCCCTTTTTTAACAAGGAAATGAATTTAAAAGAAATTACCTGAGGAAAAACAGTCCACCCAGAGGCACGAGTATTAAGACACTGTATTATCACAATACCGTACTATTTAATGCGAACAAAATAAATCAATATTCTATAAAACAGTTGTCCATAATACATAAACTGTTGATTCAGTATATATTCCTTATTCAGTTACTTGGCATCAAGTCAGAATTTTTTTATTTGAGCAAGTCAAAAAGATTGACCTGGAAAAGATAAACACTGGAATGAGTGAAGTGATTGAACATGTCATGTTTTTTACGTAGTATTAATGGTACCGAGTGACCGTCACATAATCTCGCCTGTGAAAGTTTATACGTCGTCCATGACACTTTGCGTATCTGCATTGTCGGCGTCCGGTGCTAGGACCGTCGTCCTCGTTCCAACCGATTCATCCGCGACGCTCGGCGTTTCGATTGCGTTTGTCATCGTCGTGAATGGCCGCCAGCACCTGGACGGCAATAGCAGCGCTTTGACATTGGCTCTGAAAGTCGCAGAGAGCAACGCGTACACGATACAGTTCATGACGAATTTGGTTAAAGACACCACATGGAAAACATCGTGAAGGTAATTCTCCTCCGTCGAGGGGCTGTATTCGAAGTCCCCATACATCAGCTGTAGTACGTTGATCCGTATCTGGATGGCGTGCTGAGGAAGAGACAGCACGAAATGTAGGGTACAGACGGCAATGGGGATCTTTAGATGGAAAACTGCGTCCTCGCCACTCAGTGGGAACCGGTCCTGTTGTTGACTGGCGGCCTCCTCTCTGTCCCCCTCCTGCAGGTGAAAAGGACGTATTTCCGAGGCGTTGGGAATGTACGTTTGCCGCGTCGTGGCGGCCTTGAAATAAGACCTTCTGATGCAGATGTAAAAGCTTAAAGAGCAAACAACAAAGAGGAGGACGTCCGGGAGGATAACAACGATGAAAGTTTCGATTTTCTCCATGACGACCAGAGCGGAGAAATACAGCCCGAAAAACGGGAAACACATACCTGTCTCAACCCCCGTCATCCAGGTGAGGTGCAGGAAAGCCATACCTGCGAACAGTCCCTGCCAGGCCACCACCACCTTGCAGTGGACGGACCTGAAGTGCTTCTGCGCTCTCCCTGCCCGGGAGATGTACATGTAGGAAAAGAAGGCCAGACTGACGATCAACCACGTACAAAGGCACCTCAACACGTGCGACGCATACAACACAGCCTGGCAGACGCCATTAGGCAAGGCGATGCCGCACTGCAGGCGCTCGAGACCAAGCACGAACGCAGAAATCAGGTAACACGAGTCTGAGATAGAAATCACTGACAGAAGATAAGCAGCTGCTATGTTCTTGTACATCACAGGGCGGCGAAAAATCACTGCTGAGAAAATACTGCAGAAAGCACCGGCACATATCACTAAAAGCTTGGCGAGGTAATCGAATCGGTATACCCCAGTCAGCGGAGGCAATGGACTGATATCGGTGGAGTTAGGTACCTTTAACGAGACGTTCGACCTGAAGGAGACGGCATCCTCGAAAGCGTCCATTCTGTTTAAGGTCTTAAACCCGAGGTATGTCTGTCGTCCTTTTGGCTGGAAGGAAGACACGTACCTGGATCGTCAAACCTCAAAATTATTTCAAATCGGCTGTAAGGTATGGAATGTATGTACTGTCATACACGTACTAAACGGTAGTGCCTATTTGCAGGGATACTACTGCATTGGCTCATGACACGTTTTATATGCTGACACGAAGCCCCTCCCACTGTGTGAAGTATGGGAATATAAACGTCCACGAAGCTTTCAATGACGGTACTTTCCAAGGCAAGTGGTATCTCTGCGGTAGTTTAAACGTACGTTGTTTGATAGACAGACACGAAGCCCCTCCCCTCCGTCTCAACCATGCAGATACGCACTGGCTTCCAGTGGCATTGATTAAAGGAAAACATACACAATAGGCCTTTATACGTTTAATAGTTTATATAGCAGCATAATTTTCTTGACATTTCACTAATTTTTTCCTTGACATTTCACCATGTTTTTTCTTAAAATGTTGACAATTCCGGGAAAACCTTGTTATTATGAAATATGTGCTTAAATGTTGTGACAGACAGGTGTCACGGGTTTGGGCCCGCCCCTTCTCCACAATTAATTATGTTGCTGTTGCCGATAATCTCTTTACATCGCAAATTCTGCAACCCTGCCAATTACAAGCATCGAAACGGGTTATACATTTGGAAATGCAAACGTCACGATAGAAGGGTTTATCTATCTGAAACTTGTAATTAAATTCACATTTGCGTATAATGCAATTGTAACCGGAAGCCCGTATTTTTTTAGCTACTTTCTCCCTCAAATTAAAGGTATCCTCAGAGAATTTTCCCACCAAATCGAATCTTCTTATACTTATATTTACCTATGTACCATTGCTTGATCTATGTCTGCACCTGAAATTGGCCAGATCTTATTATATAATTTAGTTCTAAATGACTGGCCAGTCAGGTGGATAGCAATGTCTTCAAGAAAATGTACATTCCGACAGAAAATATCCTCCTTGGGGGGCTTTGTCGTTTTTACGGTCTAGATGTAGAAAGATAAGTACCTTTGCAGGTCATTTAGCCATACAATATATGACCCAGGGACATTTTCAAACACGGATAGTGTAACATTTTAGATGGATTTAGTTAACCCAGTTCTGATACCGAAAAGACAGCTAAGGCCAAAGAGAAAAATATTTCACTGGGTATTCAAAGATGTTCCTTTGCCTTTTTTTCTCACTGTGCATATTTTTGTTTTGCGTTATATTTGTCCAAGGTCTAATGTAACGTAGCGTAAAATATTTCACTGGGTATTCAAAAATGTTCCTTTGCCTTTTTTTCTCACTGTGCACATTTTTGTTTTGCGTTATATTTGTCCAAGGTCTAATGTAACGTAGCTGCAGATGCAGAGGACCCTCCATTAGATTCACGCAGGTTAGGGCTAGCATGATGCAAGTAGGTCAGAATCTAGGACGAGACTTACCTGTCACGTTGAACAGCTTGTTGTCATTGCTGTATGACAATTCCTGACTCACATTTCAGAACGTTGATTCACGTTTCCCTGTTGTCATTGCTCATTCGTTCATACATGTGCATTGATGGGGTCTCTGCCCCCAACTCACATCGACCATGTTCTTCTCTTGCTAAAATCGATATCCTTTTCTTTGTCACGAAGTAGCTGTGACATGCGCAAGATTAATGTTTTTTTAATTATTTGTTTCAAACCGCAAAATAGGGAAATGCATATACCTGTTTCATTTGATTAGTGAGGGTGTTTAGAACCATTCATTCTTATCGATTTAATTAGAAATATAAACGTCACATTTTCTATTCTAAATGTTATCTAATGTACTTAGTTCCGGTGTCGTAGGGTCTCTACTCTAATACTAGAGGCCAAATGAGTGATGAAATTAATTCCAAAGAAATTTTTTTCCTTGGTTAGAGTAAAACAAATTGTAATGAAATAGCCAGAGACATATAATATCGAGTGCATATTCAAGCTGCATCACTTGTGGAGGTTAAGAGGACTCTGCTTTACCACACCGCACCAGCTTTCACCTCTTCTAATATAAAATAATGGGTTATTCAGTCATAAATATACAAACTAATAATTCACATATAAGGGGAATTGGATAGCTTTTTGGGTAAAATATCTAAAGTTTCAAGGTTCTGGGAGTCACATGCGAGAGAGAGCACGGGTCAAGGCACAGTCATTCCAAAAAAAGCGACTTCCTGCCCCATGTCAGTGACACTTGCATGTTTACTTGCGAAACTTCTTTTCACAGTGTGTGTGTGTGCGTGTGTGTGTGTGTGTGTGTGTGTATGTGTGTGTGTGTGGAGGGGGGGGGGGGGTCAGATTTTCGCCTTGTGATAGAGACCACCATTTTGGAGATTATCGTTTCTAATTTTTGTAGCTTGATAAGGCTATGGATTTCCATAAGGATAATGTTTTTTTCTATATATAAAAAAAATTGAAATTTCGAAATCAACATGCAGAGAGCCCACTGATATATATATATATATATATATATATATATATATATATATATATATATATATATTCAAATTTACGACGTATTCTCATCAATTTACCTGTGATGATACTAAGTCAAGATTTCCTCCATCTTGCCAAATTTCTTTCAGATCAGATTCAGTGCTGTACTATAATTGGGTTTTGAATTATTAATCTGTCAGTCGTCTTCGAAAGAGACTACTCGAAAGAATGGAATGTAATATTAGGATCTAAAAGACACTGAAAGTATTGCCACCGTCAACAGACTGCCACATCTTCCAGTGGTGAACATTAATCAACACAGCCTATGCATTGTTTAGATGTCCTATGCACTTTCTTAATGCCTTTGTTTTTGGAATATTTGTTGTTAGATTACTGTGCCATAGTTTGCAAGGCCTTGCTATGTGAGTAATTTTATGTTTAATAATTACATGATTGTTTTTGAAACTCGTAATTACTGTTGATTTTTGCACATTAGGGCTTGGACGAGAGTTTTTTTTATTTATCCAAGATTGGATAATGGAACTTAAGCACAAAACATTAAAAAAGAATGGGGCAAGCTAGAATGATGCAAAATTAACACAAAACGTGTCTGTTACCAACATTTGAGGAATGGCACTGCAAAGTTCTCTACCGTTCACTAAGCAAGCAAAGTTGGTCGTCTATCGCTTTCTACACCTGCCTCTCGATCGTCTGCCACTTTAAGCGGAAACGCGTTTCTGAAACGTGCTGGAATAGAAGCTAAGAACGTGATAATTAAATCAACGCTGAATTAGGCCTGTAAAACTTCCTGGAATAGATACAATAAAGCTCCTACAGTGAAAATTTAGCATGACGCAAATTTTTCATCTAAGTGTTAAGCTTCACATTGGTTGCCAACGTTTATATTTTACTTCTTTCTGATAATATTGGCTTTACACTTTTGTATTACTTATAATAGCGTTTTGATGTATTGTATTTTGTATTGTAAAGAACTGGCAATTATGACAATTCAAATTCTGCATATAATATGCTATGATTATTATTTGTGAAATGATTTTAAGTCGCGCTGAATTTGAAGGTGTAATATGGCCGTTGTTCTGTCAAGCAATACATGCCCGTGGTCAGTGGAAGTCTTGCGTACCTAGATCATATATTACCCAGAATTGACTTTTTCCTGACAAAAAAGGCCGATCTTTCGAACCTCTCAGAACCCCCCTGGCTGCGGGTCTGCAATAACTGCTCCAGACTATTATCGCATTTCATACCTTTGGTGGTTAGCGCGTTTTAACCAATTCCAATTGAAACACAACTTTGTAAAAAGTGACTTACTGACTGCAGAACACTCTTAAAGTTAATTTATAAATTTCATTTAGTTTTTCGTTTTTTAAATATAGATACAAAAAAATAAAACTTGTAGCAAAAATTTAATGGCGATTCAGAGAATCGCCTTCCATTTCGTTGTTCATCTTGACGGCCTTGACCCCAACATATTGGACATTTAAACCAGCCAGTCTACGCCCCGTACATCGTTCGAGTGGCGAGCTGCGGCGTTTCTTTTGGTTTGTTTCGAACCACAGCTCGACAGCCAACGCATTTCTTGCCAACACACGCTTCAGAATAAAAAAATAATAATAATAAACGAAAAAAAAAATAAATAAATAAAATAAAGCTTAAAACGAAAGGTATCTTTCACTTGTCATACATAAATGCCAAGAAGGTTATATTAGCATGGCTGCTCTCAATTTGCGTGCACGCGGCCTGTACTTAAATAATATTTCACAACAGATTTGCACAATTACAGAGTGAAAACATGTTAATGATTCGATGAGACCAGTTGATCCGTAGGTGTAGAACAAAGCACAGCCGTCATGCCGCCATTGAATAGCTTGCTCGCGTTTCCAGAAAGGAGTTCGGACGAATATTCAAACGAGATGAAAGATACAGCCCACCCTATTCGTAACCACAAAGGGAGGGAATTATTGATTCAAGGCTCGCAAAGTTCTATAATATACAAGTGTGTGCGCGCACCTGTGTGTTGGGATGTCTTATGCCGACATATCTGTAAACACATTTAACTGATACCTCAAAAGATGGGATAAAAAAGTAAAATCTCTCTCTCTCTCTCTGTAAACTGTGCATACAAACATACGCACGTACCGGTACGTCCACCAATTAATGGTGTCAGGTAAAACGGCTGTTCCATTCCGTACATTTATTATTCTTATTGCTTTATCTTCCGTGGTATAACAAAAGGAACATATGTTTTGCCACAGTTATTGTATCACTTTCTCTTAATCTAGCCAAAGCTAGGGGAAGTACGTCAATGGTCACTGAATGGTGTCAGGTAATAAAATGCTTCCGTTCGTTACCTTTATCATTCTTAATATGTGTAGTTTATGTTGCGACACCAAGTCTTTATTCTATCCATTTATAGAATTCTGCCGTGTTCTTTTCTGATATCTATGCAGTGAATAGGGGGCCTATTGCGGATTTACCTAATGGCGTTAGATCTCACG